TCAGGCTTAACCCGAGCAGTATAGCTCAATCCCGCCGCCCCTAGACAGGAGAACCACACACTATACACGCTTCAACGCTACAATCTGACCAGCACAGCTCAATCCTGTGGCGCAACCACACAGGTACCAAGTACTCTGGTGGACCATTCGCACCATTCGTATATACACTCACATCACATGTATCACATGTATTTCGATCAGTGATTGCGTAAGAACGCTTGAAACCCATTGTCTGGTGTCGGAATAGTAGGACAACACCACCAAGATCATTTTTATCTCATTTGCGAAATTTTCATGTTTCCGACTCTCCAGACCCTGAGTTAGGGGTTCTACCCCTATATAACATGGCGAGTAAGAGCAGGTGTAAATAGTAAAATTTCAATTTCCATGTACATGTACATGTTATACATCATTTAATAGCACTTCATTAGATAATTTGCAAAAAGGAAACCCCTTCGAAAAATATTAATCCATTCAAAAGTTATGAACAATGAAATAATAGTTTCAAGACAAGTGATTCAGATGCCTCTTAAAATACTTACATATTGTATGGTTGATCACAGTTAAACATTGTAGTTATATAATATACCCTTGTGGGTCAGGGTAATTTTACATTACTTTTCAGGAGAATCAGACACCATCCACACTTTCATATGACAATGTGGAGACAGTAGAGTTCAATCTCGTTTAATAGGAGAGCCAGACATCGCCTAGCTCAGGCTTAACCCGAGCAGTATAGCTCAATCCCGCCGCCCCTAGACAGGAGAACCACACACTATACACGCTTCAACGCTACAATCTGACCAGCACAGCTCAATCCTGTGGCGCAACCACACAGGTACCAAGTACTCTGGTGGACCATTCGCACCATTCGTATATACACTCACATCACATGTATCACATGTATTTCCATCAGTGATTGCGTAAGAACGCTTGAAACCCATTGTCTGGTGTCGGAATAGTAGGACAACACCACCAAGATCATTTTTATCTCATTTGCGAAATTTTCATGTTTCCGACTCTCCAGACCCTGAGTTAGGGGTACTACCCCTATATAACATGGCGAGTAAGAGCAGGTGTAAATAGTAAAATTTCAATTTCCATGTACATGTACATGTTATACATCATTTAATAGCACTTCATTAGATAATTTGCAAAAAGGAAACCCCTTCGAAAAATATTAATCCATTCAAAAGTTATGAACAATGAAATAATAGTTTCAAGACAAGTGATTCAGATGCCTCTTAAAATACTTTCATATTGTATGGTTGATCACAGTTAAACATTGTAGTTATATAATATACCCTTGTGGGTCAGGGTAATTTTACATTACTTTTCAGGAGAATCAGTCACCATCCACACTTTCATATGACAATGTGGAGACAGTAGAGTTCAATCTGGATGACTCTATGTCTAACTTGATAATGAGTTCTTACTCACGAACAGATGGTATCGATCTTATTAAGAGCGAATTAGCCGCTGTCTTTAAGCAATTAAGTGATATGCGTTCTAAAGTGGAGTCACTTGCGGGCTCTTTCCTACAGCATGATGATCTTAAACTAGAACTAAAGACACTGTCACCCCTTCGACTGCTGTTGTCAAAGAACATAGTTCCTTCTGAACTCGAAGACAGGATCAAAGTAGAATCAGTTATTGACTCGATAGCTAGCAAAGTCACCAAGCGAATAATCTCACGAAATAACGTGATTATATATAATATACCTGACAAGAATGCCATCAAAACTGTAAGAAACTCTATACTAAAGGCAGCTAATCTCCAGGACAGTTCATGCCAATGTATCCGACTTAACAAAAAGCATCAAAAATACTCGTGCCCTATCTTGTTTAGATTCGATTCCCATTTATTAGCGGAACGTTTGATAGAATCTGAAAAGCTTGTTTGTGCGCATACGAAGTTTAAAAACGCTCGTATAGTCTCGGACAAAACCACAAATCAAAGATTAACACAAAAGCGTACCATAAACGAAAATAACATTGTTGAGGTCACAACAAATGTGATCGCGCCAGCAGCTGAACCCACAGGTGCAGCTAATTTATCTCATGTTAGTCAGTGTACTGATATACCAATGCAGTGTGTTAGTTTGCCTCTCATACCCCTAGTGGCCCTAGATAACCAGGACATATCTGATGGAGACTCTAATGTCATTCTTTCCAGTGTAATATCGGAAGCCAAGGATCGTACACCTGATTCTATTGTGAAGGCTCATAAAAACACCGCTAAACCTAAAAAGAATATATCAATTAAAAAGAAAGTAAATAAAAAACCTTCTAGTTCCAAACCGATTACCAAAATTATTTCAACGGCTTTATCAAACAAAAGTATAGTTTCTGAAACTATGCTTAACCCTACTCATCGTAAAGGAGGTTATAAGGACACGTTTCGTTCAAACGTTACACAAGAAGGCCACTACAACCATCATGGAAGCAGGCCTACTATTAGACAGACGGCAATAAACCAACGTGCCCCATGGTTTCCCCCATATGTAATAAATAATAAACCTGCAAGATGTAACTCTTATCATCACTCTCGCAGTTGAAAAGATGGTATACTAGGTTATGCACCATCAACGCAACCCCAACATGTAGGCACCTGTCTTAATTGTCCACCAAAACAAATACAACAAATTATTCAACCTTACCAAAATAAGGATTTTTTTCGGCCTCCAGAGATCCCTTGTTCCACTAGCACTACAATTCGCTCATGCTATAGCCCATGCGATCCAGCAAACACATTGAACCATAGTCCAGGCATAGCTAGAACTCATACCTTCGATAAGGATGTTCTCGGTTTTTTTACACTACACACTCCCTTTTTAAACTTATTACTTATTAACGCACGTTCACTTCTGAACAAAATTTCAGCCTTGAGAACCTTAGCCTTTCTAGCCAAGCCTTCTTTTATACTTATCACTGAAACTTGGTGTTATCCAGCAGTGGCCGATTCCGAATTAAATATCCAAAACTATCGACTCTATCGCTGTGACAGAGAAACTAAGCGAGGAGGCGGTTGTCTTATATTTGCTTTGGATACCTTAACAACTAATAAAGTTGAAGATAGTATCTTGAATAGTTTACCAGAATCGATCTGGATATCAATCAATACCCTAAACCATAGTCTACTCCTAGGTTGTATATATAGAGCTCCTGATAGTACTGATAATTTGAATGATTGTATTATCAATGCATTTATACACGCATCTACTCTAAACTTCAGTGCTAAGATTATCACTGGTGATTTCAATTATCCTGGGATTAACTGGAGTACCGGTAGTTGTCAGTCTAGCAATGATGAATTTTTATCAATCCTTAATCTGTACTGCTGGTCACAGTGGGTTCGTACCCCAACAAGGGGTGATAATACACTTGATCTAATATTTAGTAGAGATATCATTCCCCTATCTGTACAAGTATACAACGAGTTTGAAAGCAGTGATCATAGGTTAGTAACTTGTGCTCTCCCCATCTGTCCCTCCTACAACCGACCAATTCAAAGAACCTGCAATTATAGAGACTATAAGCATACAGACTGGGACCTCTTGCGCTCACTGATCAAACTCTCAGACTGGGATGAATTCTTCTCATGTAATAGTCTGACAGATGCCATCAATATATTCTATTTCATTGTTAACTCTTGTCTAGACTCCTGTGCACCAATTAAGACTTACAGGATTAGTAAACATTACGAATTATATATACCAGCTAAATATCGTAATAAACTAAGACGCCTAAAGAAACGTTATTTTGAATCTAACGACTTCACAGCAGTCACACAAATAACAATAATTTTTAACCAAATTAAAGAGAAACATAGGTTAAAAGCCATCAATGAAGAGCTATTAGCACTACGTACTAGCTCAAAAGTGCAAAACCTAATCCACCTTTATAATAAACGTGCTAAATCAACTCAAAATGTTGATATACCATGCATCCTGCATAATAATAGTTTTATATATGACCCAAAAACTATAGCAGACCTTTTCAGTGGTAATTTTGCAAATGACAAAGAATCCATAAATGGCTCTGTTTCTAGAGTTATATGCTTGACTGGTAACTCCATTAAATCTATCTCCTTCACATGTCTGAAAATTAGTAAGGTTATAAATAAGCTCAAGGTTTCGAAAGGTCACGGTGCAGACGGGATTTCATCATTTCTCTACAAATATGGTGGTCCAGATATCCAACTTCTTCTCCTTAAACTGTTTACCCTCTCTATGGAATCAGGCTGTTATCCTGACCGTTGGAAAACCGCGTACATCATACCACATTACAAATCCGGAGATAAGACTGACATGAACAACTATCGGCCAATAAATATTACTCCAGTTATCTCTAGGATTATGGAAAAAATTATTAGTGACGAACTATCCAACTATTTATTGACTGAACAGTTTATTGGTGATTCGCAACATGGATTTCTTAAAAATCGATCTTGTATGACATGTCATTTTGACTTCTTTAATTTAGTCTATTCGCTTCGTAGCCAAGGATATCTAGTATTAGTGCTATACCTGGACATTTCTAAGGCCTTCGACATGGTCAACCACCAACTTCTCATAGGTAAACTCGCATATTATGGGGTCGAAAACCCGTTACTAGCCTGGCTTGATTCCTTCCTCGGCAATCGACATCAAATAGTTAAAATCAACTCTTCATTGTCGAACGCAGTCCCTGTTAGAAGTGGGGTAATTCAGGGTAGTGTCTTAGGTCCTTTGCTCTTTTTAGTTTTCATTAATGATATTTGTGAGTGTTTTAGTGTGGGTAAGTCCTTTTTGTTTGCAGACGATCTTAAGGTGGTGTACTCATTTTCTCCACATGAGCTGAGCTATATTCGAAATTTCATCAGCATGGAGCTTAACAAGGTAGCACAGTGGTGCTCAAAATGGCAGTTGGAGCTCAATACAGCTAAATGTGGTTGGCTATGCTTCGGTGATACATCACTCAACCTTAATCTTATCATAAATGGGGAAATGTTATCTAGATTACACACAGTAGTAGATCTAGGACTTAGGTACTCCGATGACTTGTCGTTTACTGAACAGGTAATGAAACAAACGTCCAAGTCTCATCGCCTTATAGGTTTCATAACTCGAAACCTTCATAACAGCGAATCCCGTATTCTAATGTACAAAGTCTGTGTTCGACCACTCCTCGAATACTGCGCGTTTCTCCTTAGTAGCACGCGCATAAAGGATAAGTTAAGACTGGAATCAGTACAGAGACGATTTACATTTCGTACTCTTGGACCTGATAGTGTCTTGACATATAATTCGAGGTGTAGTAAACTAGGGCTTGACCCTTTATGGATGAGGAGACTGAAACTTAACCTTATCTTCTTTTTCAAAATACTTAACAAACTCTCCTTCACATCCAGTCAGGCGATTCAATATGCTAAGGCTTCACATTACGACATTCGTAACTCCTTGTCTTTAGCGAAACAAACATATTCTAGGTCTTCTCTCTATATGAATTACTTTACCTGTAAGTTTTCTAGACTATGGAATAATTTACCCCAAACTATCCGTATGTTAGACTCTCTCCCATTGTTTGTTCGGTCAATTAATGGTTTTTGCTCCTCTGAAAATGCATTAAATGCTCTAGCGCCTGCAAGTGTATCTTACTCCACAAGTGAGATTATAGGAACTTTAAATGTTTAACCTCTTACTTGCTATCATTGTTTTGTTGTTCCGTGCTCTTTGCTTTAATCTTACTTTCTCTAGTTGCAGATAATTAATAATAACTCGCTCTGGCACTGGTAATAACCTTACAGAATAATGTTGGTCAATCATCAGGCTATCCACTTAATAAAAAAATGACAAGTTCCCTGGTGTTGCATTGACTTGCCGTGATATATGCCATATTTAAACTGTTTATCAATTACTAAACCAGCAAACATAAAACCTTATTATAATTCATGTTTGTTCTCTACATTAAATGTTGATTTTTATAACAACCTGATCATGTCTGTAAACTGGTGTGAATTCTGTAAATAATATTTTCAGAATATATTATTATTATTATTACTATTATTATTATTATCTCGTTTAATAAGAGAGTCAGACATCGCCTAGCTCAGGCTTAACCCGAGCAGTATAGCTCAATCCCGCCGCCCCTAGACAGGAGAACCACACACTATACACGCTTCAACGCTACAATCTGACCAGCACAGCTCAATCCTGTGGCGCAACCACACAGGTACCAAGTACTCTGGTGGACCATTCGCACCATTCGTATATACACTCACATCACATGTATCACATGTATTTCGATCAGTGATTGCGTAAGAACGCTTGAAACCCATTGTCTGGTGTCGGAATAGTAGGACAACACCACCAAGATCATTTTTATCTCATTTGCGAAATTTTCATGTTTCCGACTCTCCAGACCCTGAGTTAGGGGTTCTACCCCTATATAACATGGCGAGTAAGAGCAGGTGTAAATAGTAAAATTTCAATTTCCATGTACATGTACATGTTATACATCATTTAATAGCACTTCATTAGATAATTTGCAAAAAGGAAACCCCTTCGAAAAATATTAATCCATTCAAAAGTTATGAACAATGAAATAATAGTTTCAAGACAAGTGATTCAGATGACTCTTAAAATACTTTCATATTGTATGGTTGATCACAGTTAAACATTGTAGTTATATAATATACCCTTGTGGGTCAGGGTAATTTTACATTACTTTTCAGGAGAATCAGACACCATCCACACTTTCATATGACAATGTGGAGACAGTAGAGTTCAATCTCGTTTAATAGGAGAGTCAGACATCGCCTAGCTCAGGCTTAACCCGAGCAGTATAGCTCAATCCCGCCGCCCCTAGACAGGAGAACCACACACTATACACGCTTCAACGCTACAATCTGACCAGCACAGCTCAATCCTGTGGCGCAACCACACAGGTACCAAGTACTCTGGTGGACCATTCGCACCATTCGTATATACACTCACATCACATGTATCACATGTATTTCGATCAGTGATTGCGTAAGAACGCTTGAAACCCATTGTCTGGTGTCGGAATAGTAGGACAACACCACCAAGATCATTTTTATCTCATTTGCGAAATTTTCATGTTTCCGACTCTCCAGACCCTGAGTTAGGGGTACTACCCCTATATAACATGGCGAGTAAGAGCAGGTGTAAATAGTAAAATTTCAATTTCCATGTACATGTACATGTTATACATCATTTAATAGCACTTCATTAGATAATTTGCAAAAAGGAAACCCCTTCGAAAAATATTAATCCATTCAAAAGTTATGAACAATGAAATAATAGTTTCAAGACAAGTGATTCAGATGACTCTTAAAATACTTTCATATTGTATGGTTGATCACAGTTAAACATTGTAGTTATATAATATACCCTTGTGGGTCAGGGTAATTTTACATTACTTTTCAGGAGAATCAGACACCATCCACACTTTCATATGACAATGTGGAGACAGTAGAGTTCAATCTCGTTTAATAGGAGAGTCAGACATCGCCTAGCTCAGGCTTAACCCGAGCAGTATAGCTCAATCCCGCCGCCCCTAGACAGGAGAACCACACACTATACACGCTTCAACGCTACAATCTGACCAGCACAGCTCAATCCTGTGGCGCAACCACACAGGTACCAAGTACTCTGGTGGACCATTCGCACCATTCGTATATACACTCACATCACATGTATCACATGTATTTCGATCAGTGATTGCGTAAGAACGCTTGAAACCCATTGTCTGGTGTCGGAATAGTAGGACAACACCACCAAGATCATTTTTATCTCATTTGCGAAATTTTCATGTTTCCGACTCTCCAGACCCTGAGTTAGGGGTTACTACCCCTATATAACATGGCGAGTAAGAGCAGGTGTAAATAGTAAAATTTCAATTTCCATGTACATGTACATGTTATACATCATTTAATAGCACTTCATTAGATAATTTGCAAAAAGGAAACCCCTTCGAAAAATATTAATCCATTCAAAAGTTATGAACAATGAAATAATAGTTTCAAGACAAGTGATTCAGATGACTCTTAAAATACTTTCATATTGCATGGTTGATCACAGTTAAACATTGTAGTTATATAATATACCCTTGTGGGTCAGGGTAATTTTACATTACTTTTCAGGAGAATCAGACACCATCCACACTTTCATATGACAATGTGGAGACAGTAGAGTTCAATCTCGTTTAATAGGAGAGTCAGACATCGCCTAGCTCAGGCTTAACCCGAGCAGTATAGCTCAATCCCGCCGCCCCTAGACAGGAGAACCACACACTATACACGCTTCAACGCTACAATCTGACCAGCACAGCTCAATCCTGTGGCGCAACCACACAGGTACCAAGTACTCTGGTGGACCATTCGCACCATTTGTATATACACTCACATCACATGTATCACATGTATTTCGATCAGTGATTGCGTAAGAACGCTTGAAACCCATTGTCTGGTGTCGGAATAGTAGGACAACACCACCAAGATCATTTTTATCTCATTTGCGAAATTTTCATGTTTCCGACTCTCCAGACCCTGAGTTAGGGGTTCTACCCCTATATAACATGGCGAGTAAGAGCAGGTGTAAATAGTAAAATTTCAATTTCCATGTACATGTACATGTTATACATCATTTAATAGCACTTCATTAGATAATTTGCAAAAAGGAAACCCCTTCGAAAAATATTAATCCATTCAAAAGTTATGAACAATGAAATAATAGTTTCAAGACAAGTGATTCAGATGACTCTTAAAATACTTTCATATTGCATGGTTGATCACAGTTAAACATTGTAGTTATATAATATACCCTTGTGGGTCAGGGTAATTTTACATTACTTTTCAGGAGAATCAAACACCATCCACACTTTCATATGACAATGTGGAGACAGTAGAGTTCAATCTCGTTTAATAGGAGAGCCAGACATCGCCTAGCTCAGGCTTAACCCGAGCAGTATAGCTCAATCCCGCCGCCCCTAGACAGGAGAACCACACACTATACACGCTTCAACGCTACAATCTGACCAGCACAGCTCAATCCTGTGGCGCAACCACACAGGTACCAAGTACTCTGGTGGACCATTCGCACCATTCGTATATACACTCACATCACATGTATCACATGTATTTCGATCAGTGATTGCGTAAGAACGCTTGAAACCCATTGTCTGGTGTCGGAATAGTAGGACAACACCACCAAGATCATTTTTATCTCATTTGCGAAATTTTCATGTTTCCGACTCTCCAGACCCTGAGTTAGGGGTACTACCCCTATATAACATGGCGAGTAAGAGCAGGTGTAAATAGTAAAATTTCAATTTCCATGTACATGTACATGTTATACATCATTTAATAGCACTTCATTAGATAATTTGCAAAAAGGAAACCCCTTCGAAAAATATTAATCCATTCAAAAGTTATGAACAATGAAATAATAGTTTCAAGACAAGTGATTCAGATGACTCTTAAAATACTTTCATATTGTATGGTTGATCACAGTTAAACATTGTAGTTATATAATATACCCTTGTGGGTCAGGGTAATTTTACATTACTTTTCAGGAGAATCAGACACCATCCACACTTTCATATGACAAAGTGGAGACAGTAGAGTTCAATCTCGTTTAATAGGAGAGTCAGACATCGCCTAGCTCAGGCTTAACCCGAGCAGTATAGCTCAATCCCGCCGCCCCTAGACAGGAGAACCACACACTATACACGCTTCAACGCTACAATCTGACCAGCACAGCTCAATCCTGTGGCGCAACCACACAGGTACCAAGTACTCTGGTGGACCATTCGCACCATTCGTATATACACTCACATCACATGTATCACATGTATTTCGATCAGTGATTGCGTAAGAACGCTTGAAACCCATTGTCTGGTGTCGGAATAGTAGGACAACACCACCAAGATCATTTTTATCTCATTTGCGAAATTTTCATGTTTCCGACTCTCCAGACCCTGAGTTAGGGGTTCTACCCCTATATAACATGGCGAGTAAGAGCAGGTGTAAATAGTAAAATTTCAATTTCCATGTACATGTACATGTTATACATCATTTAATAGCACTTCATTAGATAATTTGCAAAAAGGAAACCCCTTCGAAAAATATTAATCCATTCAAAAGTTATGAACAATGAAATAATAGTTTCAAGACAAGTGATTCAGATGACTCTTAAAATACTTTCATATTGTATGGTTGATCACAGTTAAACATTGTAGTTATATAATATACCCTTGTGGGTCAGGGTAATTTTACATTACTTTTCAGGAGAATCAGACACCATCCACACTTTCATATGACAATGTGGAGACAGTAGAGTTCAATCTCGTTTAATAGGAGAGCCAGACATCGCCTAGCTCAGGCTTAACCCGAGCAGTATAGCTCAATCCCGCCGCCCCTAGACAGGAGAACCACACACTATACACGCTTCAACGCTACAATCTGACCAGCACAGCTCAATCCTGTGGCGCAACCACACAGGTACCAAGTACTCTGGTGGACCATTCGCACCATTCGTATATACACTCACATCACATGTATCACATGTATTTCGATCAGTGATTGCGTAAGAACGCTTGAAACCCATTGTCTGGTGTCGGAATAGTAGGACAACACCACCAAGATCATTTTTATCTCATTTGCGAAATTTTCATGTTTCCGACTCTCCAGACCCTGAGTTAGGGGTTCTACCCCTATATAACATGGCGAGTAAGAGCAGGTGTAAATAGTAAAATTTCAATTTCCATGTACATGTACATGTTATACATCATTTAATAGCACTTCATTAGATAATTTGCAAAAAGGAAACCCCTTCGAAAAATATTAATCCATTCAA